ACCCCCCCCCCCCCCTAAAAACTTAGCGCTGTTGGGAAAAGGGTAAGACAGACAGAAACAACAGAAGGGAATAATTGAAAAGAAGAAGGACCTATCGATACCCCCCCCCCCCCCCCACACACACACACACAGAGCAAATCCCCCCACCAGACACAGCTCAAATAGAACAGCAACAGTTCGGAGAGTGTAGTGACGTGACGCATGGGACCTCGCCAAGCACGCGAGAACACACGTCGCGCCAGTACCACCGACTGGGCATGGAAACCATCCGCCTGTGTCAACAGCGGCGTGAGGACACGGGCTAAAACAAAAAAATGCCCGGTATGCTAAACAGGGCCTCGTGCCGACAGGGGGAGGAGGAGAGGGCGGACATAGATGATGAATATCATCATACGATCCCGGGAGTGTTTCTGTGGCATGACAAACTGACGAACACCTTGAGAGTGCTTTCAAAGTCCACCAAGTCAAGCGCAGTGGTGGATGCTAGCTATTTTTCTTTATAACTAGGACTAGGACTGGCATGCGTGCGAAGAGCTACAACTGTGTCAACGTGACAAGGCGAGACCTTGGAAACACCCCGACGTACTACATACATTATTATCATTATTATTATTATTATTATTTTTATTATTATTATTATTATTATTATTATTATTATTATTATTATAATGATGTTGATGATGATGATGATGATGATGATGATGATGATAATATGATGATGATTATTATTATCATTTTATGTTGTTGTTGATGATGTTGTCCGAAGGGATGGAATACTGGAAAAAAAAGAACGAAAGAGCAGACCACACTTAAGGGGCATTCTTTCCTCTTGGGTCCTTTAAAAATATACGAACTTTGCCCCCCTCCCCTCCCCCCGAAAGTTTTGACTATGTCCACGTCCTTGTGGCCTCTACTTGTATAGAAGGAACGTCCCTGTGGTCTCTACTAATCTAAATGGATCTCGTGTGATTTAAAGTTAAGGGTCCACAGGCTTGAAGTTAAAACACTGTCTCCCCATAATAAACCTTTCATTTCCTCGAGTTTCTGCAAAGGAGTTGTTGGTAACACCTTCGTGTTTACATTGCTCCTGTTTTTATTGCTGTTGCTGTTGGTGGTGATGACGAGATAATGCTGGGACACGCGACAGTAGAACAAAAGCTTCCGACGAGACAGCACGGGAACAGTCACAGTAGAACAGAACATTGGAAGAAGGAGGTGCTGATCATTTTTGAGTCCCCCCCCCCCCCCCCAACTATCCGGAGTGTTCAACTAACCCCCTTTCCCGACTGTCCAATGACTCACCCCCACCCCGAACTGTCCATCTACCCCCTCCCTCGTCCTGATTATCCCTACCCCTCCTTAGACACTCAACCGAAAATCCTTTGCATTTCTTCCATCTCATCCACCCCCACCCCCCCTTTCCCCAAAGATAGATCACAACTTGCCACATAACGCATTGTTATATAACCAGAACCAGTTTGTTCAATGTGAGTAAAGAGAGGCACACCTATACGCAAAAAACAACAACGTAGAAAGTTATTGACGGACAGACAGATATAAGAAAGAAAAAGTCGAACCTACCACGTCGCCCTCCAACCACCCACCACCACCAGAGCTAGCTACACGACACGGAAAGCTGTGTGACAGCACACCGATATAATGCAGTCGGCCAAAGCTGGAGCCGAGAGTCGCACACCGTGAGAATGAGAGAGAGAGTGAGAGAGAGAAGAAAAAAACCCACTAAAAAACAAAAACAAAACAAAAGAGAGCAGAAGCAAAATTCTCAGCAAGCCGCCACGGCAACAGGCGAGTCACCAGCTGGGATAGTCGTAGGGGTGAGGCAGCAGTGAAAGAGGGAGGACCGGGAAGGGGGGGGGGGTAGGTTATAGACGGTAAGGGTGAGTGAGAGAGAGAGAGAGAGAGAGAGAGAGAGAGAGAGAGATAGATAGAGAGAGAGAGAGAGAGAGAGAGAGAGGGGGGGGGGAGTGAGAGAGAGAGAGAGAGTGAAAACTAGAGAACGTCGATCAATAGACGCCTCATCAACAACACAACCACACACGCTGTTCGCTGGCTTCAGTCAGCCTCGTTCAACTTTGATCACCTGTCATTTGGCCACACCGTCCATTCTATAACTG